CTTCACTTGTAGCCCAAAGAAAGGTCACTAATTCAAATCAGGGTGAAGAACGTGAAGATGATGACGACTCCCAGCGCCCCTCTACCTCAAGGGCACACCGTACTTTGGGAAGTCCCCAGCGAAGGCAGGGGGGGGGGGCTCGTATTCAGCCGGTGATCGAAGAATGGTCGTTTACTGGAGAAATTCATTTTGTAATTATGGCGGACTCCCATTGAGGGAGTGGTCGTATTTGCTCCCTGCTTTAGGAGAGGGTCCGCATCTAACCTTGAACTTTTTTCGTGCCTTTCTTGTTTCATAGCCCTCCCCCGCTTGGTGGCAGTTTTTTGTTCAATAATTGAAAAACTTTCCGGAAAACTGGGAAAACTTGTAGGATGTTGGGAAAAGTCATTAAGATGGTAAGCAGAGGTGCGGGAGAGTTGTACCAGAGGAGGGAAGTTGAGGGGAGAGGTCGCATTTTGCAGAAATCTCCCCCAACTACCGGAAGTGGCCTCGTTGGGGAATTCCTGGAAGCCTCAGCCGGGGTCGTCCTTGGCCAGCAGAGGGACGGTAGGAGGGAAGTCGTAAACGGCCCTAAAAAATTTTTTTTGATTTCACAAAAGTGCTGAGTTGTGGGCAAAAGTCGAGCGGGGCTCGAACCTCGAATTCCGCAATATCGAGCAATAAGGGAATTGAGAATTTATTTCGATAGCAGATCTTTCCTGTTTTGAAATTCGACCCTTTTTTTCTAGGGAAAACGTGGAAGAAGTCGGTAAGATGGTAGGACGGTGAGTTAAGATGGAGAAATGGGGCCGCACCAGAGGAGGGAATTTGAGGGAGGAGGATTGTATTTAAAAATCTTTCCAACGACAATAAGACCCCCCCACTCAAATACGACCCTGCGGTACTGCTCTTCATGTTCCTTGGACCCAAAACGTGTCAATATGGATGACATTCTCAACCCAAAACCATTTGAACGCGTATGACATTGCTGTAATGATGTCGACGACCTGTCCCTTCTTGAAATCAGTTTTTATAGTTCATAATGAATCTGGTTCCAGCTATCCCGACCTTGAAGTAATGCACGGATTTATCGACTCATTATGAAATATCGCATTTAGCGAACGTGTCTGGGGATCAGAGCACATCGTACCTTGCGGAATCCCCAACGCAGGAGGATGGGGCTTTATTGGTCGCTGAAATGGAGAGACCTCAGGTTTTTTCCCCTCCTAGTCGGTGATGGACTTTTACTATTTCTGATAGTTAGTCAGAAGGAGACTTTTTCGCTTGAAAGACTTTAAAGACCAGTGGGCACGATGGGTGGGGTGGATGGTTGGTGCTAACCGTCACTGCAGAAAGGCTGAGTGGGGTGTGGCCAAGCCAGCCCCTCTCAGCCCTTCCAGCAACAGCCTTGGCAATGACCTTCTCGCCCCCAGCCTCCTTTAAGGAGGAAGGAGGGGCGTGAGATGGGGGAGGGAGGTCTGTTTCGGAAAGGTTCCTCAACATGACTCCACCGCCAAGAGTGCCCTGATGGGGATGCTTTTAGGCACCGTACTGCATGCATCTCTCTTACACACCCAGAGTTGATCAATTAGAGGAGTAATGGTATTTAGTGTTTCCTCGGGAGTACGCCATGCACATGTTCCCCTTCCGAGATCATACATAAAAAATAGCGTGGATGAAGAGCTCTCCTCTGCTGGAAGCTAATCTCTAGCTGATCGCCCCTTGCTACCTTAGAACGTATTCAGAATTCGCGATCGCGCGAACCAGTTGGAGCGAACTGGATCGCGTAATCGCGAAGTCTGAACGCGGTCTCAACCTTCCCAGAAGGGATGCACTCCGTGTATTCGCCCTTAGCATGACCTCTTTTGGAACTCAGAAAGGATCAATTCAGAGCAACAACGGCATGTAGCTGTACATCTACCCAAATTACCCATATGTACCTTAATGAGTCTTCGGCGGCAGCGTTGAGAAGTCGACTGGCAGCAGCAATGCGTTCGCCGTCTTTGTTCATGGCCTGACAGAACGATGTCGAATCGCAGTGAAGAAGGGCCAGACATAATCTAGTTCTTGATAGTTCATCCATCGAAATATTACCGCTGTTGTTGGGATGCAACTTCGACAACCTGCAATGGACAGAAAGTCGTGAAATTTAGGGTGAAGGAGATTATTTTCAGAAAACATGGTGTTCAGAGATCCCTATCAGAACCTATAGGCACACCCTGGTACAGTGTTGTTCGCAGCGGATGAATGGGCGTGTCAGTGAAGCTGGGTTTGGCGCGCAGCTAGCCAACTCTCCTCTAGTTGTGGGTACACGACCATGACTCGTGGAAAATGACGGATACGAACAATGTCTTCTTCAACAAAATTCAATGAGTACTCGAAACACAATTTTCATTGGTAAGCTTTCGCTGTGGTAACAGCTTCGTCAGACCTCAAATAATATAAAGCATATATAGCACTACAAATCTTTACAACAATAGAGTGAAGCACTAACCAGACTGGAGTCCTTCTTAACAATAAAGTTGCTAAGGTCTGTAATACAATACACTCAATGCCTACAACTGATGACAACTACACCTAAATACTAACGACCTACCCCAGTGACACCTCCAATGCAACTAAAAGTGACTAAGAATGCGACGCGCTGACAATTGCGAGGACATCCTTATCACGACCGCTATGCAATCAGCCTCATTGCCTCCATCAGCTCATCCCTGTTGTTTATTTCGGGGGATAACCGCTTGATAGCGATCGCTAGCTTCCTTTCCAATGGGCTATCCTTCGAGCGGTGTAAACGTCACTTTCAGGCGGGGAGGTGCTTCTTGTTGGTGAAACATCGTACGATGCCGCGAGAATCCACTCTGGGGGTAAGAAGAGGGATTTCGCAAGCTCGTATGTGTTCATCCATCCTTTTGTGTAAAGGTCGCATTGTTTCACCAACATATCTCTGATTGCATCCTTCGCATGTGACCAAGTAAACTGTCCCACGTAACTGGCAGATTTTATTTTCTGTACAGTATGAACAGTTACTTCGGCCACATTTCTCTTCGTAGATCCGCGATGATGTCAACAAGCTTCTTAGATTTTCAGGTGGCCGGAATATTAGCTTGATTGGAAGGTGCGACGACTTGATGGTATGATTGACGTTCTTTGCTACTCTTTCGTTAACATATGGTAAAACCAATGGGATTCCTCCAGTAGCAAAGAAAGGTCGCCATGTTCTGGGTTCGTTCGTCGTGTATCCGTTCTCTTCCAAAATCCTTGCTATTTTCCGGTTCACCTCTTCTGATTCATAAGTGCATGTCCGCGCCTTCGTAGCGATAAGATTTCTTACCACGTTAGCTTTCATATAGAGCGGGTGTGCACTTCGAGAATGCAGAAGGAATATTCTTGACTCGGTTTCTTGTACCACTCAATCTCCTTAGTGCCATGGTTTATTCGGACCTTCGTGTTGAGGAATGGAAGGAAGCCGCGTTCGTCTGGATGTTCCACCGTGAAACGTATGTTCGGGTCACATGAGTTCAAATTTTGAAGCATCGTGCTCATGATACGAACAATATGATAGTCCAGTTACTTGTGGAAAGAAAAAAGAAAAAACGGACTGACGCCAGGCCAAACCTATCCCCCGTCCCGTCATCCGCAGCGAGCAAGACTGTACAACTTGACTAATGGTTGTAGCGACACCTGCAGACATTAGATTTTTTAAAAATGACCTTTTTTAGATTGCGAGGCCTCTGACATGGGGAAGATAAAGGACTACAACTGGTCTTTCTTAGAGGCGCGCCTGCTCCCTTTCACCGTATCAGGAAGGAGGGGTGCGCATCAATGAGAAGGGAACAATAGTGGGTCTGACTTTGCCGATACGACCAGGACTGTCCCTCTAGACCTATGTTCAAGAAATAAGGACAACGGCTTAGTTCCACTCCTATATTCGCTACCCTGGGTCCTTGCGGTGAACACTGTCTTTTTAAAGTTGCCCATCCTGAGCTTCACCCTCAATCTCTCGAGGGCTTGATCCCAAGGCCCAAACTGGCCGTAAGATCGTGTCGCTGGCAAACTGGAAAATTACCTTTCGATGACAGCGAATAGTTCAGCGGCCAATGACTCTCTGACCCGTTCTGGCTGAGAATCCAATTCCACTTGCTCGTACCTTCCGCAACATTCGCGAGCGTTTTGGACACCAACATAGAATTTCAAAATACATCTGAACAAATGGTCATTAAGATGACTTCGTGAGCTTTGAAACATAACAGATTTTGATACAAACCACATACTCTTGGAGAGCAGCCGAAATTCCAATTCCCATGAGAGGATCAAATTTGTTGGACGTCTTCTCAAACAGAGGAGGGGGTGCAGTATTGATCGATTTCAACTGTTTTATAAGCTGTTCCTCCAAATTACGTAAGTCCCGAGAGATGATACCCTGAAAAGGAAACCAATATTCTATGACAAAACGAAACCGATATTCA